ACTAGGTAAATTAAACTTCACACAAGAAAATAATTAAATAAAGTTCTCCACACTCATTTAAATATTCTCATTTTCATATGTATTGATGAACATGTTAAGGCCTAATTTAATATCACATTGTAAGTTCATTCCAAGCTAGGTACAACCATGTGAATTAAATTTCATACAAAAAATAATAATTAAATAAAAGTCTCAAAACCTACTCAATTATTATCAATTTAATGTATATGATAGAATATGCCAAGCTCATTAACAATATCTAGTCAAAAATCCAATTAAGTGAATAGGACACTTAAAATAAAATTAATTATTCTAATTAATTAATTTTCTCTAGATTTTAAAATAATTCCAAATGTCCTCAAATTCACATATGGTGAAGAACATACTAAGGCCTAATTTAATATCACATTACAAGTTAATTCCATGCTAGTTACAACCATGTGAATTAAATTTTTATTCAAGTGAAAGATTAATTAAAAGTTACAATACTTATTCAAATCCTCCCAATTTAATATATATTAACAAGCATATCAAGGCCTAATTTAATAGCATACCACAATTTAATTCCAAGCTATATACAACCATGAGAATTAAATCTTATCCATAGAAAATAATTAAATTAAATTCTAGAATTAATACAAAGGCATACTTACAAGTTGTATATGCTTATAAAGCCATCAATACAACACATAATTAAACCTAAAACATACCCTACCTCATTTTGTGATGAAATCACAAATCCCCACCGAAACCAAAACGCTTCGAATCCGATGATACTCCTAGGTTATGTCGGGGACAACGAGAGGAACAACTTTAACCTTTGAGGTACCATGAAAATTCAAACCTAAATTCGAAATCCAAACTCAAAAGTGGTTGGAAATGGATTCTAATAAGGGGGAAATGTGCGCGCCGTCAAGGCCTTCGATAAACGTTAAGGCTCAAAGCAAAATACCTAAGGGAAGAAGGTTAAAATGAGAGAAGAAGAGTGGCAGCCCCCCTTGGGCTGCCATGGCAGCTTTTGGTCATCCATGAAGAGAGGAAAAGGTCAAAAATGAAATGTCTCGCCCCCCTTTTATAGGAAAACCCTAAAAGTGCCCCGAAAAGGCCACGTCGGGTCCGGAAAAGTAGAATTTGAGCAGATGTGCTCAAATGACAAAACTCTGTGAATGAAAAAGAACCAAAATGAGAAAATATGAACAACAGAAGAAACGGCATTGAAAACCGAGTCCCGAGCAGAGAGATATGCCCCAAACAAGTTTGCCACTAACTAAGGCCACAAACCCGAAAACTGTAGAGTTCGACCGCAAGACAATTCTAAGAGTACATGACTCGATAAAATGCGAAAATGAATCTCGTACAAGGATCCAGGCTCAAAACGAGGTATTTTGCAATAATTTTCGTTAATTGCACAATAGCCCCTACAAAAAGGGATAACTGCAAAACTGCCTAGAATGAAAATATCTTCCAAAAGATATTTTCTTAAAAACCCCCAAAATAAATATCTCCCAAAGATATTTACGAAAAATACCCCAAGAAACAAAAATGTTTCTATAGAACTTTGCATCCATGCCCATATGGACACCAGGAGTAACCAGAGTACTTTCCTATAAAAGTAAAGATACGTATTTCATGAAAACTACTTAGGATAAAGGTACATGCAGTCAATACTCAACTCCGAACATGAAAAGTGAGGTTATGCCAACAAAGTGACAAACGGGGAAAAGACGGAAAGTGAATAGTGTCGAAAAAAGAAAAATGTGGAAATGACGCGATCCTTTAAGGAAGTTGTCAATCCAAAGGAAAGAGTCTCGGAAACCATTTCTGAGTACTCAAGACGACACTAAGTGACGAGTAACCGAACTCAGAAAAGAAAAATCTACAGAAAAAATTTATCCGTAAAAATCTGAGAAAAAGGAAAAGAAAGAAAATGACCGGGTCATTACAGACTTTTTGCCCATATGATCGATCACACAAATTATCTGTGCGATCACTTGGAACAAACTGATCGGACACACGCATCATCTGTTCGGACAGTTGGAGCATCTAACCGATTAGATCAAGGAAGTGATCGGTAGGATTAGATCCTATTTCCCTGCACTTCCTAGGATTTGAAACATCTGATCGGTTACATCAATGATCTGATCGATCACTTGGTTAAATCACAAATTTTCAAGTTCACCAGTTTCTTCATCCTATCGATACTATGGAGTGATCTGATCGATCATATCCTGTCATCTGATCGGTTACATGGGTGAAGTGATTGGTCACATATTATTCTCAAAAAATTGAAACTTTATTATTTTGGCATCCTATAGATACTATGAGGTGATCTGATCGATCACTTGGACTAATCTGATCGGTCACATCATTGAAGTGATCTGTTACACCCGACATCATATTTTTCATGTTATACATCTATCTAATTGGTCACATTAGATATCTAATCGGTCACATTAGATATCTAATCGGTTAGTTTGAGTGACATTTCTTAATTTGCATGAAGTATGAAATGATGCAAGATGAATGGAATTTTGAGCTTTAAACCAAAGGCTATAAACTACCATGCCTTACCATTCTAAACTAGCCTTACTAATGAGATGTATGCTCTCCATTGTGCTTTCCATTCTATGGTGTTTCCATGTCTTGTTCTTTATTGATGATCCTGTTTTGGTGCATCTCAATAGAGATATGTTAAAAGTATTTTTTATCTTTGTTTGTAATCATCAAAATAGTAAGAGGTGTGAATCAAAGGCATTTGTGCCAACACCAAGTTTTTATTTTTTAACAAAGAGTAAAAGATCTACTTTTCATTTTTCAAATTTTATTTGTTTTTATTATTATTTTTTTTATTCTCTTTCCTTTTTACAAAAAATAAAATAAAATAAAATTGGTACACACTCTCTAATCGGATCGGATATTCGTTTATTAACAAATCGGATATAGATTGATTAACAAAATATCTATCGAATTATTGAATCGAGTATAGCCTTATTAGAATCGAATTGGATCGGCACTGATCTGATCCGAATCCGACCTATTTACATGTATAATTTAAACTAATCCATATAAATATTGGAGAGAGTATATATGAAATAAAAAAATGTGACTTACATTTAGAAAAATTATTATTTGAAGAAAAATATAAAAGAATTAGGAAGATAATAAATAGGGCCTTTGGACGCTTCCAAAGCCATCCAAGCCGCCCCTGCTGAGAGAAGTCAACATTTTAATAATGGATGTACTAAATAATATTACTACATTAAATACTATAATTGGACTCACAGGATAGATAAAGGTGAAGTTGCAAAATTGTCCTTTACGAAATCAAGTTCAGCATGTAGTAATAATTAATTGAAGTGAGAGTCCTATAAATTGTCGGTATAGAGTGGTGTTTTGGTATCGTGTAGCGCCATGGTTGGGACTGGGATTTATTTTAGCATACCACCCCAGTGCTACCGCCTTACCTTTCCCATGAATCTGACTTCTTCGCCGCCCAACCCCATTCACAATATCAAACTGCTTTCCTTTCCTTCTTCGAGATCACATCTGCACTGCTCAGTACCAGCTTTCCGTCCCTCTCAAGTATCCTCCAGCTTCTTAAGGTCTGGATCTCTCTCCCTCTCTCTCTCTACATATATATATATATATATATGTTGGGACTGGGATTTATTTTAGCATACCACCCCAGTGCTACCGCCTTACCTTTCCCATGAATCTGACTTCTTCGCCGCCCAACCCCATTCACAATGTCAAACTGCTTTCCTTTCCTTCTTCGAGATCACATCTGCACTGCTCAGTACCAGCTTTCCGTCCCTCTCAAGTATCCTCCAGCTTCTTAAGGTCTGGATCTCTCTCCCTCTCTCTCTCTACATATATATATATATATATATATAGACTAATAGACACACAAATGGGACAAGGATAGTGATTTTTTTTTGGAGTACTAATTTGAGAGAATAAACTCAATTATGAACCCTTTTTAGACCCAATGAAAACACAAGGAAAATGAAATGAGGGAGTCTTTAGTTAGCTAAATCTTTAATTTATTTTCATTTACTAATATATATAGTGGAATTAGCATACAATTTTTTTATTATTATTTTTAATATTGCTCCTATTTTAGGATGAGGAAGATCTTTGTTTCATCATTATTCATGTCCGTGAACAATATTACATTTTGTTAAAAAAAAAAAAAAAATTACGTAAGTATTTTTAGAGCTGAATTTTGTGGCGCCAAAATTTAATGTGCTTATTGCAAATTCTAAACTTCCTTGATTCTTAAGTTCTGGTAATGATTGATACTTCCTTTATTTAAAATGCTAACTGAATTTTTTTTTTAATTGTCAAGAAACATACATCCACTTACACACCTCACTTTTATTCATTAAAAAATTTAAACTAAAAAATAAATGAGATACCACTAGACCTTTCCTAAAATGCTCACTCATTCTAAGCTTAGCTTATTTGTTTATATATTAAATAAAAAAATACTTTTGTATTTATTAAATAATTACTTAAATGATTTAAATTATATATTGATTTGAGTTATGAAGTAACACCTTAATATATTATTAATAATGAGACTGAACACGTGATGTTGTAACTTGTAGGCCCCACAAAGAAATGCAACCAGCTTAATTGTGAAAGCAACACTGGGACCCAACTATGAAGAAAAAAATAGAGTAAAAGAATAATTATGGAGAGTTGAATACTCGGACAAATCTGATTATGTGAACTAAATCGATTTAAAAATTTTCTAAACCTGAATTTTAATGTCAAAAAAAGATTAATGGACCATCCAAAAATCTGACAACATGATTCCCATTTTATTACTATTATGCCACAATCAGGCCTCTCTTTTGCAGTACCTGCCCATTAAAAGATAAATAGAGTGCACAAATATGGACTTTTGATTCAGCTATAAAAGTTCTAGCTATCAAATAGTATATATATATATATATATATATATATATATTGAAGTTTTTGAGTTCAATAGGTTCAGCATACAAGCTACAACAAACCAAAGAAGAGACTCTTCACACCTTCAAATGAGTGCAGAAATGGGAGACCTTGGAAAGCAAGCACCAGAGAGGTAAGAAGTTGTTAAAGTTCCTCAGTTGTACAGTTTTTTTTTAGGTGGGCCTTAGCACATCAATAATAATGCTCGATTTGGAGATCATATGTTTGAAACAAAGAACAGTTATTCACATATAAAAATAAGACTATATACATCAAACCCAGGGCCGGCCCGGACCCAAGGCGATCAAAGCCGTCGCCTAGGGCCTCAGAATTTAAGGGGCCTCAAAAATTTATAGGCCCATGAATGGTGGGCCACCAAAAAAAAAAAAATTGTAACCAAATGCAACAAATCATCTAAGGGGCCTCAAAATTTATAGGCTCATGAATGATTGGCCACCCAAAAAAAAAGCTTGTAACCAAATACAGCAAATCATTTAAGAGGCCTCAAAAAAAAAAATTATTATTATTATTATTATTATAAAGGGCGTCACTTTTAAAGTTCGCCTGGGCTCTCAAGATTTTTTCAATCTCAGGGCCGGCCCTGATCGAACCCTCTCTGAGTATTGGTGTTTGATCTGTAGATTGGTGTTGTAGGTATGCCGTGGTTACTGGTGCAAACAAGGGCATTGGCCTTGAGACTGTTCGGCAGCTTGCAACCTCCGGCGTGACCGTCGTGTTAACAGCCAGAGACGAGGAGAGGGGTAGAGACGCCGCGTCGTCACTCCATGAGTCAGGTCTGTCAAATGTAGTCTTCTACCAGCTTGATGTTCAGGACCTTGATAGCATCAATTCTTTGGCCAAATTCATACAGATTCAATATGGAAGGCTTGATATCTTGGTAAGGATGATATTTAACAGAGTTCGGTAACAACCATATCTTTGAAAATTACAATGATCTAGATGATAAGATATTGCTGTCCAGTTTTCTTTTTTAATCTGGAAGTATGTGGTTATGGTTTGAATTGTTTATTATGTTACACGAACTATTCAAACGTAGTTGACGTACAAGTGTTCTGAGACGGACCAGAAATTATGTAAAGGGAGGCGGCCTTTAACAAGATAAAAAAAATTCAAACCATTAAGTGGGGACAATAGTGAATTTTTTCTATAATTTCAGTAGGGCAGTAATAAAATTTTATAGATATGTAATCCAAATATAGAAAAAAAGTAGGTATAAAATAGTGAAATAAAAATTTCAGCGGGGCAATTGCCCCCACGGGCCTTGCATAAGTCCGTGCCTGTCTGTGTTAGACAAGTAATACTCAATATGCGTCTGAAATGTCCATGTACTCTATTTGGTAATAAATATGTTGACATTTGGACACAACCACACCCACACATGTACCTGAGTTCGGGTAACATAGGTATTGCTCCTGAGATATTTTTTTCATGTGTATAGATGAATTAAGTTATGTAAATCATGAATATGGAAAAAGTTAAAAACTCATCAAGTTGTACAGGTAAACAATGCTGGGATTTCTGGAGTGATAGTTGATGAGGATGGCCTAAGGGCCCTAAACGTAGATCCATCCTACTTGGGGGTAAGAAAAAAGTGTTGATTGCTTGTGCTTTTTCATTGAACACCCACTAGACACCAATAATCCGTTATCACTTTTTGTCAGCACAGCTCTCAGGCAAGGCAACCAATTTGGTACAAGGTGTGATTAAATCAACCTATGCAAATGCAGAACAATGCTTGAACATCAATTACCATGGTTGCACGAGACTGACAGAAGCTCTTCTTCCCCTGCTACAGCTTTCCACTTGCACAGGAAGAATAGTAAACGTCTCTTCCCTCCGCAGTGAATTATGCGTAAGTACAGATTATTTTCTTCATCATCACCCAATCCTCATTCTTGTTCTTGTGATTAATTAAACTTATATGTCACAGAGCCTGGTCTGCTTATGTAAACAACTCTTCCCCATTCTTTTGCAGCGGATTCCCAACGCGCAGACAAGGAAGGAACTTGCAGATATAGACAATCTGACAGAAGAAAAAATTGATAGGATACTGGAAAGGTTTTTGCATGATTTTAAACAAGACGCGCTTGAAACTAATGGATGGTCAAAAATGCTGCCTGCATACAGCATATCAAAGGCCACCCTTAATGGAGTTCTTGCCAAGAAGTACCCTAACATGTTAATCAACTGTGTCCATCCTGGATATGTTAATACTGCTATAAATTGGCATAATGGGACTATGACAGTGGAAGATGGAGCTAAAGGTTCTGTCATGTTGGCTCTTCTACCTGAAGGAGGTCCTACTGGTTGCTACTTTGATCGTACAGAGGTCGCTGAATTTTGAATATCCCTATTCTAATTGCAGCTAGACCATCTGTTCTTGCTGAATTTTATATCCCCGCTGTTATTAGTTGAAGATAATAAACACCTGGGGGTCCAAATAAATCCATGCCAGTAGTATTTATTTTGAATTCAATGTTTTAGTTTGTTGTTTTTCTTTAATTCGATGGAAATTGTTGATGCATAAACCTGCACAATCCGGAGTAGAATGCCTTTCTTGCAAAAAAGGAGTAGTGACGACCGGTGCAGTGCAGGTCAAGTGTACTCAGATGGCCAAGTTAGTACTTGACAATGGAATGTTAAGTTAATTATTTTGTATTTAATTTTTGGCGTTCCTCTTTAGGTTGACTGATGACTTCTTTTATAGAAGCATTAATGATGTTAGTGTCCTGCACGAAACTGATTTCTTCTCCTTATCACAAATTGCAAAGTCATCGGAGGGTGGTAATAGTTATCTCTACCTCTTTGACTTTATTTATCCCTCCCTTTGGATTTCCATTTCACTTGGATTTCTTAATGAGTTGAATATTCCGTATCAATTGTCCCCTATTCCCAAGTTTGTCTGTCAAACTTAGCAAATGTTAAGTTGCATTCGCTCGCCTTTTCCTGAGACTGAAAGATGTTTTGAAGATCTCATTTCTGCAACCAACCAGTGTGCGATATTTGGGCAGTACCCCTAACTTGATGGTCTTTAGTTTGGAACTATTCTCTCCATGAGAGTCTTTAGTTTTGCTTTTTTGCTTTCGATGTATGTCTAACAGAAATCCTTTTATTTTTAACGTTGGATTATGATGTTGTTAATGTGGATGAAACATATTTGATCGTCATTGATTCACCCTTTAGTAAGCGGAGTAATTGACCCCTATCCCTTTCGGGGGAGAGGGCCTTTCAGTACAGGACACGTCGATTTGATCCTTTTTAGTACGGAGAATGGCATTTTATTAGCTTCATTAATTCGAACCCTTAAAATACAGAACACTTTTATATCAGTCTCTTTTAGTACAGAGATGACAATTACGAACTTCATTTAGCTTGGGCCCTTATAGTACATGACACTTTTATATTAATCCCTCTTAGTACGGGGATAACAATTATGAGCTTCACTTGCCCATGTAGTAAGGGTTATCTCAAGATGTTAGCTCAATTAGCACTGGCATCTGTCAACATTTTTTTTAAGCATCCAGCTCACTGAGATTAGCCTTGATGAGCTTCAATTTCTAAGAAACCTTGAACATATGGGAAATCCTTTAGATGAGTGCTCCAAATTTCACATATTCACTTCAAAAGTTTAAGAAAAAAAATTTATTGGAATCCCTTTTACACGGCGAGTTGAATGTCTATCTTAATAAGGATGTGCAATGTTAGAAATGCCTCATGGGGGAAAATCAGTATCGAAGTTAAGGTAATTCAGATTCCATGCTTCACTTGTGAGAGCTCTATTTAGCTTCCTAAATATGATATCATAACTTAGCTTGTTGTCGTTCCAAGTGAGACATTGCCTAGTGAACCTCAGATCCTCAAATTCAGCCTCTATTATAAAATCAATGAAATGTTCCTCCACTTGTACACACCAACCATTACGACACCCATTTCTTTCAAATAGAAATCTTGCTGCATTCAAGTTAACTAAGACAGTCAAAGGGTGTTGCACGAAACACCTGAATAGTAGGTTATCCAAAGAAATTGCCTCCCTATTGAAGTAGTTAAACCATAGACAATAGAGAACACGAAATCATTCTTGCCAGTAGCAGAAATACGGTATATAGCCTCATCAGAGCTATTAATTATTGCAACGTCAAAAGCTAAAGTCTTCGAAGTGATCATCTTGAACCTCACTGATGAAAAAAATAATTATGGTTACGGACAAATACAGTTGCTAACATATGACCTTAGCCACAACATCAATATTTGACATAGAAATTAAGCTTCGCATGCTAAGACTTGTATAAGAAACTTCACAAATATCAAGACATAAGTAAAAGCTCACTAGGGTTTTTTAACTAAAAGATAGCATAAATACCGGACACCATTTATTTCGCAGATGTGAAATGATATGTACTTTTATATTATACATTATATAACGAATTTTTTACTATCTACCCATACCTGGAGAGACTCTCTTCATATATTGTAATGCCCCGAATCAAAAAGACACAGTTCATGATAAAACGGAATAGGCCGGACTCTTACTCAAGTCCAAAATGTAAAAACTAATGACAAAAATGGCCATACAACGTGGTTAACAATACTACGACATCCCCTAGGGTACAAAGGTCTCCATAAGTCAAACTCGAGTCAAGGAATAGTCAGGGAGTGGACTTAAGTGGCCTACATAAGGTGTTCAACTAACAGGGGGGTTTGGTCAGCTGGAGCCTTTGGTCATTTCTTAAGTCACAAAAATGATTTGTCTAAGGATTCAAAATCTGAATTAAATAAGTTAAGGCTAATTAAAGTCATGGAAACATCATATATACATAAAGGATATGGCCATCTAGGCCTCAATACATTATTGTACAATTATCTTATTAATTTTACAAGGATCAAGACTAAAACATGTCATGCTCTTAAACTCCAACGTCATCGACACCAACTAGCAACTCCAAGGCAGGTATCCATTCCTGAAATTGTTGTCAACAGGGTGAGCTTACAATGCTCAGTAGATGATGTACAACCTACCCTTTCTAAGGCCATGCAACACACAAGCAAGCATACACAACGCATTGCTAAGGGGAGCATGCTTTCAAACAATGTTTGCGTCTAACGTTCACATACAAGTCTCATTGAAAAAATCCTACAGAAGCATACGTTGAAATAATGCTCTATCTCTAACATTCGCAAAACAAATATAAACAAGATCATCCTATTGGAGCAAGCCTTCAAGTAAGGTTCTTATTCTAACTTTCACATTTTAAATATCAACAATTCGTTCTACGGGAGCCTACTTTGAACTGAAAGTTATCTAGCACTCATGCTTCAATTCTCAAATATCTTACATCAACATAAATATTCTCATACTAACATAATTGAATGAATATTAGCAACATAGACGTAACATTTCAATTTACCTCAAATACATGTCTATGCATTACGAACTCAAAGATAAACTCACACATGTAGCCCAAACTCAAACGAACAAAATATGAATTAGTTAACAACCGAATACGGGGTACCTCCCCGTATCCCTACCCTTGCTTCATGTGTTACTAGCCCGTCAATAACGATGCCCGCTTGATCAAGTATTGGGATTTTCAACCCTAGAGTCATGCCCTTCCTATTTCATCCACAACAATCCTTTTCAAAAACATTGTTGCATAAACTTAAAAAATCAATGCTCACCTATGATTCACACCACACACATACTCTATGCTATGGTTAAAGATAGATATCAAAATAATTTCATAGAGTTTAATCACAAGTAAACAATATGTTCCATTTCAACATTTACTTTCATTATTGCAACAATAATAACACTAATATCGTATTTCACAACATCACTTTCTCATAGACATTTTATTAAACACTTAACATGCATTTGACAATTAAAATCAAGATATGTAATCAAGTATCTTCATACAACATAGTTAAAGCAATCCTACCATGAATATCACAAGTTCACTAGAACGACTCAGCAATTGAATACATGTACTCATTTATAACATACTATAACTCAATTTCATACTCGCAACATTTATTCAATTAAGAAGTAAAGAACACATTGTATCTCTTATGATTTTCAATAATTTACCTCCAACTTAAAACAGTCACAATAAATTCAATTCTAAAACAAATTACGTAAATACAAAACCAATTCAATGTTTAAAGGCTAAATTAGTTTAACAAAATCCCTTCTCAATTAAGGCAGCTTGATGCAAAAGTACAGAAAAAATTCTACTCATAAACCAGAATTTTCAGCAAATAGCTCACAACTTCAAAAATTCATAACAAATTCATCTGTAAACCAAAATATATGAAACTAAAGCCTAATGGAAGCTAAAAGGATAAAATTTCATACTATGATTTTAGTTTTATAGAGTCCCTTGCCGAACAAAACAATTTTAATGAAGAGTCGGAAAAATTCTGTTTTACAAAACAATTTTCGAGCAACTAGTTCCCAAATTCAAAAGTTCATATCCATTTCATTTCAAGATCAAATTGCATTAAACCAATGGCAAATAAAAGTTAAAAGACCATATTTTCATGCTATTAATTCATTTGAACAAAATTCATCACAGCAAAGTTCAGTATAGGGCTGAACATTCACTTTCGACAATTGTAAACATATATAACCATAGTAATCACATAAAATACTCACAAAACCAAAGTTAAGGGAGGTTCAACACCCCTATCTCAAATTGAAGAAAAGCCCTAAATTGTCCAATGATAAAACTACTCCAAAATGAAAACCAAGACCACCGGAGATCTATAAACTTTCCCTCTACAACTATCTACAATTCACAAGCTAAGTAGATGACAATGCGATCTAAATCATACAATTACAAGGTGAAAAGAAGAAAAAGAAATGACTCAAACAAAGGGAGGAAAATCGCTTTCCTCTCACTCTCACCCTTCATATTTATCCTGGGATAGTGGAGAATGGGTCCCACATGCTCCCCTCCTCAAATTACCACTTTGTCCCACTAAACAAACTATATAACTCACATGATTAAGGCCACACAAATGAAAATAAAAATAATTGTCTAAAATAATAAAAATAAAGTAAATGATGTTAGTAAAAATTTTCAAACATTAAACCTTACGGCCCATAGGGGAATGTCTCGGGCCCACAGACCCGAAATGGATGAAATGACTCTAAATGAATTTCTAAGTGTCCGTGACTTGAAGAGATGTCTAAAAATAATCCTAAAACCTTGAGGCACGTATCCCCACACAACATAAGTAAGCAATGCACATGAAACGGAAATGCAAGAAGAAGGGAAAATAAAACTCGGCCGTCACATATATACTCAGTTTGGCCAAAGATGTCATGCATTTTGTAAGGATGTGTCCCTTTTTTATTTTTCACTATTTTCTTTTTTCATCATTTTCGAGTATCTGGTCAAGTGGGGCCGGACCGGGTCGAGTGTTTGGGAAATTTTTTTAACACTTTTTATTTATTGGTTTTGGGATATATTGGACCTATATATTTAAATTGGGATGTTTTGGACATCATATTTATTTGGGATCATTTGCATTATTACTTTCTAGATATTTTCTAATTTTTTGGCCATTTCATAAATTTGGCTTTTCAGGTGCCACCTTTGACATTTTGAAATTTTGGAAAGATATTTAGGTGAGATATAAGATTATTTGACAATCATTCTCTCCCTCACACTTTCTCTCTCTCACTTTTCTTCTTTTCTTTTCCTTTTCCTTTTGGATCTTGGTTTCAAAACCCGGTTTGAGCTCCTTCCACTTGGATTTTGCCGACACCATAGGAGAGTTTTATGATGGGGACACCAAAGGCTTCAAAAGTCTTAGTTTTGTTTTTGATTTCGAGCAATTTGGGTTTTGGGGGCCAAGTTTGGGTTTAGATTCAGAGGCGGCCGTAGGAGGTTTTGTCGTTCCCCTCGCTTTTCTTGTTACACCCTCGGAAGGTTAGCTCTATTGAAGCACTTTCCATTTTGGAGGTTTTGAGATTTTTATCTCAATGAGGTAGGGATTTGTGTGAGTTGTACGCAATGAAATATTTAGAAAGTTTTGTACTTTTAGAAACAGATCTATTTCTTTCTAATCTTTACTTATTTTAGCGATTAAATAATTTATCACATGTAAGATAAAATAAGGAATTTTTACATATAAATTGGCTTAATAGCCCATATTTACATATCCATTAAGTCAAAGTACCATAGTTTCAAAAAAATGTATTTGACTAAATTGCTTAGGTGGCACATGAATTTTTACTTTAAAATTTGTGTTACCTAAAGTGCCCTTCTCTCTATTTTCTGTGCTGCCTAAAATGCCCTTGTCCATGTTACAATACATTTTACCTTTAGAGCCCTAACGTCATTGAATTCTCTCATTCGTGCAAGAGCCCTCTCGCTCTCTCTCTGCCCTAACCCTCACTGAAATCTCATTCGTGAAGCTCAAAAGCCCTCTTTCTCTTTCCCCCTCTCTGTAACAGCCATTTTACAGTCATTAGTGCACCCTCTCTCTCCCCCTCTCTGTCTAACCAGCGAAGCAAGACCAGGCCACACATCTCGGCATACAGCATCAACAAACATGGAGGTCTTCTCCACTTTGTTTCTCTCTAATGACCGATTCCATTTGCTGTGAAATGAAGCCAGACCTAGGTTGTATCTCTCTTTCCTTCACAATTTAATTCAAGGATGAATCTAGGGTTTGAGGTAATTTTTCATGTATTTTTCTATCTATAATCTGTGATTTTGGTATAGGTTTTTAATTTTTTTTTCTTTAGGTTTTCCATATATTTTGCACATCAAATCCAAGATTTCATATTTATTTTTTTTTTCTTTTGGTTTTCCATCTAACCCTAACATTCCATTCGTGCAGAGCCCTCACCCTCATAGTCTACTCTTGTCGCTGTTCTTCTTCTTGGTGGTCCATGTGCTTCGTGAACTTTACTCCACTAATTTGGTAAATACTCTCTTTCTCACACACACACACACTCGTTTACTGAATGTGTGAATTAATTATTCTATTATGAGGCTTTAAATACCGCATCAGTGATCTTTTACTTCACATGAATATCTGGAATGTAAAAACGTAAGTCAAATGTTTTGGGTTAATCGGTATAATGACAAGCATGTTCACCTGTACCTTTCATCACCATCTTCCCCTGTTCTTGGCACTTTGAATTCCTGTTGTATGATGCGTCAACTAATAACCCACTTACATTAATTGTACAAGAGCATCATTAATCATGAAAACGAATTAGATTTTTCCCAAGACCTTCTGTCCTTAAAATCATTGACAGTCCACGACCTATACATATTCCAAACTTCACGTTGGCTTGTTGTAGGAAAAAATAGTAAAAGTACATTAATTGCAAACATGTCATGCCCCTTTTTCTTTTTCTTCATAATGGGAATTATTGTTGCCATCATAACAATTGAAAATTCAAACAATCACATGGCTAAATATTACTAAAAAATAATGCTATCAGTTGCTCCCCCCCCCCCCCCCCCCCCCCCCCCCCCCCCGGCGGCTGAAGGACTCTTAGTTGTTTTTAATCCGTCCTTAATATCCTGAATTCTTGTAGAATTTCAAAGTGTTTATTTCTATAATTGACACATCAGTCGATGACAAAAACAATGTACTTTTAATATTGTCCCTACATGTAATGTAACTTGAAAAGTGTACATGCAAAGTGAGGTTATAGAACTAGACTGCATACATAACTGATCAAATTAAGGGTATGAATTATATACAAATTAAATAGAATTAAATATGGTAGTATATATATGTATATATATATATTGAAATGGGAATTTAGTTTAAGTAATTCATTTAATTTAACATACCTGTAAAAGTAGTTAGGACAATCTCATACTCCTGTCCAACCTTGACTTGAGACAATGGTAATGGTTAATCTTCTAAGTAGTCATCTGTGGCTGAATTAAGGCAGTACTCTTGCAGTGGTATGAACTTGAAATAAAAAAATGTGGGTACAACTGCGAAAGTAACATTCTCTAGTGGAGAAGAAGGATCCACATTCACCCCAATCCAACTCTCTGTGGATCCATAGTCCATGCTCACTAACGGCAAATTCAAGGCGTAATGCCTTAGTTTTTTCAAGTATGGTTGCATTGATCCTGTCATTATAGAGTACACATACTTCACATTTGGCCATAGTTTAGGAATTAGACTAAACCAATCTAGATCCTTCAGCTCCTCACAACAATCTTGGATCCTCGAAGCCAAACATAGGTTTGGTGTGACGATGTCGAAGACAGCTTTTCTCATCTTTGGCAAGGTGATTTTTGGAGTAAAAGTGCATTTTCTAATGTCATTGCATATGTCTTTCCATAGCTCTTCGAATGATCGAAATGCTTGGAATGTGCTGTAAGTGAATGTCGACATTATGAACTCTACTTGATCAAAGAAGAAGAGGCCAAAGAGGAGGTGACAGTATGTCTAGAGCCTTTGGGGACTATTGTATTACGGATTTTGAACTTATATCCGTCCCTGAAGTGAGTGAAAGACATATAACCAGCAGAGACCAATTTGTTGTGTTGCCAACCAATGGGATATGTATGGCACTTTTTGGTATTTATCACTTGTTCTTTTTTATACAATGACAAAGAAAAACACATGTTTGTTTCTCTATATTAAATGTCCAAAACTTGTAAAAGATCAGCTGAACGAATACGTTTCAAACTCACGAGCATAATTGACATTCATCACTTCAAAATATGTGATATCAGTTATATAGACAATATGTTTTCTTTTTCCATTCTTACAAATTGTTTCTTATGTCAGAGTATATTTTTCTATATAAAAAACAGTTCAGTGAAAGCTAATAAGAGCTTCTATATTTCTGTTAAAGGTATAGGATGTTATCTCCAATCAAGAAGCAATTGAAATTGTACCTTCCACACCTGAAAGAGAGAAGTTAACTAAATGTCTGGTTGAATGCACTATCGAAGCATGGAAACGCAAGAGGCGCAGTATTGCAACAGACGGTGTTTCTGCTATTTGTCTTTTGTTTCACACTTCACCCTCATCTTAGGAAATTCATTCTGTTACTATGTCAAAATAGTTGTGACGAAAAAGAGCAAGGTATTTGCTCCTTCATTTCCATCATTTTGTATCGTAATGTTTTTCTTTTATTCTTTTTTCCCAATGTGTATCATCATAAGCATGCATGTCTGGACTAAGAAAAAAAGAAAAAAAAAAAACAAAACAAAACAAAAAGTAAAGAAAGAAAATAGAAGTATGATTCAACAGAATTATTGAGTAAATTTTCTTATTGAATTAAAAGCTACACATGAAAGAATTTTGTAAGCTTGGCTTAATGGGTTATTGGTATTAGTCAAAATTAGACAATATGTCATTCATCTTCGAGAGTGGTAGCATTTAATATCTTTTGTATTGCCAAAAAGAAACAATTACAGGGTAAAGTAGTTCCGAGGATGGTTGCAGACCACTTATAATGCCGTTTTGTCATGCAAAATTGATATGTACATGTTTTTTATTTCACATTTATATATCCCTCTTGGATCAGCATATACAAACTTTGATAGGAGAGAATAATAGGTCAGTTAAAAATTACCCCCAAAAAATTAACTTTTTTAATTATATAATCATCATTAAACTGGAAAAGATGAGATTTAAAAACGGACTATATAGACAATACTTATAAGAACTTAGAAGACCAGCGACCGGCGATCATTCCATCTCAATTTGTGCATCTTATTTTCTAGGTTTTGACCTATTGCACTATTTTGTTGACTTATTTTCGTTGAGAATATATTTAGTAGCTAGAGTTCTCATTAGTTAATCATTGTTCCTAACTTCAAAGTCTATGGTTTATCTAGTTTGGCCTATTGGTGACTGGTATGTGAATATGGCCTGGGAAAGTTTGTATTGTGTCTAAAAAGGTGACTGTTTTCGAATTTGGATGTTACAATTGTTCTTGTTTGATTTATTCTGAATTCGATTACATTAATCGGAATGAAGTTTTTATTTCAATGTGGTTTCACTATATGTAATTTCATGGTGTATTATTATTATAGGCTTATGCGCCTTCTTTGACAAAAGCTAATTTGTTCCCTGAGAACAATAGGTTTTGACCAATAACTTTTTTGTATTTTGTTGATCATTTTCTTTGTTAAATATGAGTTGTAAAATTTTGTTGTAATGACTTTAATTGAAAAATCAACTTCATAATATGCAATTAAAATGGTGGAAAAACTGCAGTTTATCCTGTTCATAAGAGAATATGTTTGGCTGAGAATATAAAACTTGTTTAAAACTTATATAGCATGAGTCTATGGCATACACTGAAATAGATATGATCATTTGGAAAAAGTACCCAATCTCAGACTATGAAGTTTAATTTATTTTCCTTATTAAGTTCTCAATTTGTCTTCTCTAATTTTTATATCCCCCTGGCTGTCATTGTTTTCCTAAATTACTTATTAAATTTTTTTTTTTTTTGGCTCTTTTGTCTAGATGTTGTCAAATCATCACATGGCTAAAATTCATGTGATGTCTGTGAATTGGACTCTATATTAGAAAACATATGATGACATAGAGAGATATGTGAGGTGTCGTCAAATCATCACATGGCTAAAGTTAAAAATAGTGGTGCTAGGTGTATAAACACATGAACTATTATGAAAGACACCCCTATCATGCCAAAAAAAGAGATGTGTAAGTCCCTTTTGTCAAATCATGACATGGGTAAAATTCATTCACATGTATGTAAATTGGGCTTTATAAATAGACATATGACATATGCACAAAACCATAACATTAGCACTAGTAAATCTCAGTTGTTGATGTATGGAGCGAAAGTATATAGAGCGAAAGTACTCGTTAAGAGATGCGCGGATTGAAAGTAGTAGTTATACATTCTTAATCGATCTCAAAACTATTCTATTTTTAACTCCTCATATCGATGGTTCATTTTTTATGTAATGACGACTGGCATGTAATCGTCATCTCCTCCATTGGGATTTGGTATGTATTTATTTTTCAATGTGTTCAAGTGTGTATTTATTTTTCCTTCAATAAAATAAGTAATTGTGTTTCTACAAATGTACCCTGTATGAAGTTGAGAACATGAGAATTCGCTCATGGAAATATAAATGGTTGTGTTGTGCTTGCAAATGTAATAATATTTTTAGTAGACCTTCTTATGATTCTCGGGGACCTTATAATTAATTGGACTATTTTTTTATTTTTTTTTTCAACTTTAAATGTGTAATATTTTGATATGTTTAACTGTATATTGAGATGTAAAATAAGTTATTCTGTTTCCATAAACTCTTCTAAATATTATCAAAGCAAAAATAAAGATTTATGCATTTCATAAAAATGCTACATAAATATAGCCATATATGCATTTACATAGTGGGTCATGTGCCTTAAATGACTATTTTTTTACAGTGTATAGGGGGTCACATGCCTTAAGTGACCATTTATTGTGCATAAATGGAGGTCGAGAAATTGTTGCGGATGGAGTGTTTAAACTATAAGAACATGAGTTCTGTTAAAGGGTTGGAACTACTTACATTAAAAGTCAAGTACATTTGCTCCCATTACCTTCCCCAAGTATGTAACTGGAAGTTGCCATATGATCTTATATATTTAAATCAGTTGATTCTTGTAATAGTTTCTCTTGTCTTGGTTTTGTTTATTTCTGTATGTTGTTTTGTTCGTACCTTTTGGTAGTAGTTTTTTCGTTACATTTTGTTTATCAATGATGATGATATCCATTTGATTCATAAATGATAATCTTGCTCTTTCCCTTTTTTTATTAGCATACTGAATTTGAGACTTGTATGATGCAGTTACTTGCTTGGATTTTGTATCATGGACAATGAGGTGGTTTTTTGACAAGTGCAGACTGAAACTCAAGTGCTAGAAGGTTTATAAATTTTTCAACAACACTACTAGGAAATTGATGATTTTCTTGACAAATGGATTTAGTTCCTATTTTGGAACATTGATGAGTGGTGAATTAGAGTAGAAAATTCATAAATGATGAATTTTTTAATTGTAGAATGAATTTTTTTGTTGTAGTGATAGGCAGACACATTAAAGCACAACTTGAAAATGATACATGTTAAAGATAGAACTGACATATGATTTTATGATATAGAAAGATATGCGAGGATCTATCAATTTATCACATAGCTAAAGGTGCATAAAAACATTAATGCCACTATTATGAAAGGCACCCCTTTAATGTCAAAGAGAGAGATGTGTAAGATCTTTTTTTTTAAATCATCACATGGTAAAATTTACATGTCTGTGAATTGGGCTCTATATTAGAAGACATATGATGACACACATGTTAAAGATAGAACTGTAATATAGAGGGATATGTGAGGTGTTGTTAAATCATCACTCTGGCTAAAGTTAAAAATAGTGGTGGTAGGTGCATAAACACGTGAACTATTATGAAAGACACCCATTTCATGCCAAAGAGAGAGATGTGTAAGTTCCTTTTGTCAAATCATCACATGGGTAAAATTTATTTACATGTCTGTAAATTGGGCTTTGTAAATAGATATATGACACATGCACAAAACAATAACATTAGCACTAGTAAATCTCAACTACTGAGTGTTTTTGAGCAATAACGGGGAGGTGGAATTCATAAAAATACTTTATAAAATTAGTAAAGATTCATACATTTCATAAAAATACTGCATAAAATTAAACTTGCATAAAATTAAACTCAACTAGTGAGTTTTTTTAAGTTTTTTTGAGCAATAACGGGGATGTGGAATTACAATACGTGCCATTCGGAAAATCGCGTGTCTGTGCCTTACACTCATCCCGGTTTGTGTATATTCCAACATTTCAGCCAATGAAACAAAAAATTAAACATTATCCAAATAAAGACATTACATAATTGTTATTTTTTTCACATAGATTTGTAAGTGCACTTATAAATAAATACATTACATAATTAAAATGCAATTAGAAATCTATTTGGAAAAAAAAAAACATTATAATAACTTTAATTAAATAGAATCAAAATAAAGACATTGGCTAATCAAAGTGCACTTAGAAATCTATTAGAAAAATAGATTTCTTAATAGCTTTGATCAAATAGAATAAAAATAAAGATACTACATAACCAAAGTGCACTTAGAAATCTATTTAATAAAGAAATTAACATTATAATAGTTTTGTTAAAATAAAACCAAAATAAAACATTAGATAAGTAAATTGTACTTACAAATAGGAATGTCAATACTCTGTCTCATGACAACAATTAGATATTTATAATAACTTACAAAAACGAAGGCTTTTTCTTGATGATGTGACTGATGAGCGCTGAAAAGTGCGCATTTAAACCCCTTAAGATCGAGTATTCTAGGACCTTTATCTATCTTATTTTTTCGTTTTAGACTAATTTCATGTTATTGCCCTTTTCAGGTGCTTATCCCCAAAAAAAAGTCAATTCAGCCAAATTAGAGCAAAAAAGAAGCAATCTCAAGCTGAATGGAAGAATGGAGAAAAGTGGAAGTAAAGTGGTAAAAATCAGCAAACTTCGATCGATCAGGAATATTTTCGATCGATCTCACCTCACCATGATGGATCAAACCCCTTGTCCTTATTCTCAATAAATTTCATCTTCGATCGATCCAACTTCCTTCAGATTGATCAAACTTCCTTGATCTTATCCCTACCTACCACTTTTGTCTTTTTCCCAAAATATCCCAAAATATCTCAGAGATTTGTCGTATTCCAAAAAAGCGCCGCCAAGGATTGATCGATCGGGCCTTAATTCGATGGATTTGGCCACAGTTCAATCAATCTCATTTGAATTTGATCGATCGAACCTCCTCAAGTCCGAATTAAAATAGAGTACATCTCATTAAAAGATGGCTCGTGCTGCAATCATTGAAGGGACCCTAGTGCACGAGACCTGACCATTAGGTGTGACACTTGAGCTACCAATATAAGGATTTTGAGCCATTTTTACATCACATCTCAGCATAACTTAGATATTTCAATACATCTCATATCACATATCTTGGAGAGGAGGCTAGAGCTTAGAGAGACATACACTATTTTGGAAGTTCTTCCATTCTTCTAGGGTTTTCATCAAGAAGAAGAGCATTTCTACCATGGAGATGGCCTTTGAGGGTTGGATAACTACATCAATGAGTAGCTAAACATCTTCTTGGGGATAGAGTTAGCCCTAAGCATGCCTTCTAGACCTTGATGTTCTGTATTTTGAGGGGATTTGTGTTGTAATCTTGTCTTGACATTTGATTTATTTATGAATCTTGTTTTTACAATGATTGTGCTAATTAATATTTCCAATGGATCATTTCATTCTATTCATTTGTCTATGTATGCTAGAATAGATGTTAATGTGTTTATTTCTTAGTTTTGTGATATTAATGCATGCCTATGTGTATTGATGCTATGAATCTAGAGATTGTCAAGACATAGTTCTTAAATAGTATACTCTTGTGATTTGTTTGATGGTTCGTACTCATTTCTTAATGGATTATGCCTCTACCTTAGTTTAGTTAGTTTAATTTTCATGTCCTTAGCTTAGATATAGTGTAGTTGCTTTACTTTCTTAAATGTGAGGACAATCCATGCTTGTTGTTTGATGTTTCATACTTATGAATGCAAGTAGTACAATTCTCTAACTTGTTGCTGTGTTAATTGTGAGCTTAAAGGAAGGATTAATGGCTTAGTTTGTTATATTGTACTATTTACTAGGTTGTTTAGACAATGTATACTTAATTAGTCAATCCATGCTTGTTAATTCAATCAATCACACCTCTTTATATTGCAACACATGTTTCCCCTCATTTGTTACACATTGAATATCTAGAATGATGATGTTTAGTGGTGATCTCTAGATCTCAAGACCTCTCTCTCTTATTCTCTATCATTTTATTTACTTCAATTGCTTCGTATTGAATTTATTTACATTGTAGTTTAATTAACAAATCAAAACACCTTTTGATCACTCGACCTACTAATTCGACCTTGTTTCCATATTAACATAGCCCCCAATCCCTTGGAACGATCCCTACTCGCCCTACCTATATTATTAGTTAGAGTAGTGGCACTTTATAAATTTAAACTTGGCCACACTTTTATTGCAATTTGTTGGTGCATGCAACGACAGCCCCACAGTCAAGTTTTGGCACTGTTGCCAGGGATTGATTTGGCAACACCGTGTTTTAGAAATAATTAGGAATTAGTACTCTTTTGATCGTGTTTTTACTTTATTTTCTTTTTAGTTATTTATTGTGTTTATTTTTTATTGGCTAGGTGAATTGAGCAAAGGAAGTCAAGCAAGGAAAAATTGAAAAGTAAGGAGCTAAGCTAAGCATAAAAAGGCTAAAATCTAAAATTTGCAAAGCTAAGCGGAGAATTGAAAAATCATTTGAAGTTACTTAAAGACCCTTTGTGATATCTTTCTTAACTCAATCTCTAGTTAAATCATCGGCCCGCGTGGTGGCAAGTTCTTAAATTCTTAGTTAAATCGTGAGCCTGCGTGGAGGCAATTTACTTTTCTTTGTATATTGTTCAAGCACGGGAGTATGGGATTAATGTATGTGGAGGATGTTTGTTGATTGATTTGTTGCGTGGGCGAAGTGTTTGGTTTGTTGATTTTATCTTACTTGATTTTTATGTGGTCATAATCAACCCTTCATCATTCTAGTGGAAAATCTAAAAGGTTATCTTAGTTATTTAGACCTGAATTTCATGGAACATCCGCCTTTTAACCAATTTCCTCCTAGAGTTCAAGCTCCAATTCCTCCAATGATCCTTCGTGATCATTACAACCTCCATGAATATCATTCACCAACTTGCATCTTGCTTCCTAATTTTAGGGCCAATCATTATGAAATTAAGCCCAAGATTATTCAAATGTGTCCACTTTTCTATGGCTTAAATAATGAGGAACCTTATAAACATCTTGATAAATTTCTTGAGATATGTTCCACCGTGAAATACATGAATATCCCAGAGGAAGTTCTTAGGTTACTTCTCTTCTCATTTATTCTTAAAAATAAAATGAAACATTGGTTCAACAATTTGGGGGCAAACTCAATAACTTCTTGGATACAAATACAAAATGAATTTTTGAAAAAATTTTACAACGTAAGTTTGACCAATTCAATGAGAACCGCCATTAGAGAATTTTCTCAAGGGGAAAGAGAACTTTTACATGAGGCTTGGGAAAGATTGAATGACTTGCTAAGGAAATGCCCACACCATGGCATTCCTAAATGGCAAGTGGTTCAATATTTCTATGAAAGTCTATCCGACACTCATAAGGACATTGTTGATACATCATGTGGAGGTTCATATTTTGGGAAACATGAGGATGACATTTGGCACCTTTTTGAGAAAATGAGTGAAAATTCATTGCATAAGTCTCACATTTCTCGGTTGAGTCATGATTCTATTAACAAAAAGAGAAATTTGAAAGTGTGTTAAATTAAGAGTCCAATGGAGATTGTTGCCGAGGTCAAAATTCTTACTCATTTTTTTTTTCCCTAAATGAAGGATTTTATAAAAAAAATATAAACAATATAGTACATGGAGAAATAGTATGGGCATACCCTTACTATTCAAAACCAAAATCTATTTCAAGAAAAATAGGCCAAAGAAAACATAAAGCTAACCAAACAAGATTACAAAATATCTTGGAGTGTAATCCCCATGACATCAAGAACCTCCCACGTAATACATTTAGCTAAATCCAAAGGAGCTCAGCATATATCATTATGTATCCTTTCATTTATTTCTTTCCAAATAAAATATAGCACAGCTGTGAAAACAATACAGGTCAATTTGTTCTTCATTCCAGTGAATCTCTGATGGAACACATCAACCAGATCATGTACTACATTCACCTTCTGAAGATCCCAACCCAAAATTCTAGAGATACTGGACCACACGTCCCAAGTATAATTACAGCTACAAAACAAGTGATCCAATGTTTCAACATTATTATAGCACAAATAACATCTAGAAATAAGAGAGAATCCTTTATAATTAAGATAGCAGTGCGTGAGAATAGCTCTCTACATAACAAGCACAGTGTGAGTTGTCCATCTCGGCCTACCTCCACTCCAACACAGACGTGCCCAACAAACCTCTTGACCTGGAGTTCTACAAGCTTCCCACATTGCTTTAAAACTGAAAGGAGTCTTCCATCGCACTTGATCTACTCCACCCAAAATTCTGTGATTATGAAATACCTGAATCATGTCTTGAGTTGTGTTAGATAACAACTCATCATCCCACTGACCATCAATGATCAAATCCTTCAATAAAAGGTTTTTATTTCTACTTAGAAAGCCCAACGTTCTATGATTAAAAATGTCACCAAGATGTTTCCCAACACACCATGGATCCAAAAAACTTTTATATTGTGTCCGTTACCAATACTATATCTGCAATTAACTTTAATCACATCTCTAACATCAAGAATGCTTTTCTATATAGAAGAGTTAGCAACCCTTGGAATAATATTCCAAAACAAAGCATTTTTCAGATACTTTTTCTTAAACCAAGCCACCTAAATTATGTCTTTAGATAGCAAGAAATCCCATGCAATACTGCACTTGGAAGCTTTATCAATGTCCAGCAATCTGCGCAAACCCAACCCCCCTTCCTCTTTCGGAGCTGCCAGTTTATGCCATCTTAAACCATGCATCTTCTTCTTATCTTCCACATGACCCCATATATAATTCATCATTCTTTTCTCAATCAAATTAATAACCACAGAAGGAAGAGAGTATACTGAAGTCCAATAATGAACTAAAGGCAAAATACAAGCTCTAGCCAATTCCACTCTACTAGCCATAGAGATATAAAGAACATTCTATCTCGTTGTGAGAGAGATAACTTTATCAATCAATTCAGTGCAGTCTCTGGTACGCAACATTTGATCAGAAATAGGCACCCCAAGGTATGTAAAAGGAAATTTTCCAACTTTACATCCAAGATTTCTAAGAATTACAGCCCTTCTTCTAACAGATTGAGTAAGAAATACCCCAAATTTCTCCTTACTAACAGCAAGCCCTATATTTTCAAACTGAATCAACACTTTCTTTAAAGTTAACACAGTAGCCATGTTTGCTCTCACCACCATCAACAAGTCATCTGCAAAAAACTGGTGAGTAATAGGCATACCAGCTAGGACTACAGCATTAGATGGAACAATCTTACCACACTGCACCTCAGCTGCAATCATACCTGAAAAGTATTCTGTGACTAAGGTAAAGAGCAAGGGAGATAATGGACATCATTGCCGTAGACCTCGCTCTGGTTGAAAAAACCCATAATGAGAACCATTAATAATCACTGAAAACCAAATCGAGGAAATGCATCTATAAATCCAATTGATCCATTTAGTTCCAAAGCCAAACAATTCTATAATTTTCAAAAGAAAAGACCACTGGATTGTGTCATAAGCCTTCCTCAAATTAATCTTCCAAGCAAGAGTGGGTTTAGCATGTTTTGCACCAAAACCCTTCAACAACTCATGTGCCATGATAATGTTATCTTGTATTCTTCTACCTTGAACAAATGTAGTCTGCTCTTTACCAATAAGCCTTACCAACACCCCTGCCAATCTATTAGATAGAATCTTGGCAATAAATTGCTCACCAACAATAGAGGTCAAAACTCTTACTCAAAAACTTGATCAATTTTTATTGAGTCAAAAACCGGTAACTCAATCATCTCCTCATCTTAATCATCGTCTTCATCATTCTTGTGAACCATGCATGACTTGTTCAAGTGTATTGCACACTACTTCCAATTGTCCCCATGGACATGTGCTTGATGAACACTATGAACAAGTCAATGTCGCATTTGCTCACCATCTGCCAAATGCTTATGTTCCAGTGTGGAGTGAACATTCAAATCCTTTTCAAGCTAAAAATTTTCAAAACCAATATATTCCTCCTTATCAAAGAAATAAAGGTTCAAAAGGATTTGTTTCATCCTCTTCTTATCATCAAAGAATGAATCATTTCTCTCATCCTCAAGCTTATAATTCTCAAAGTAACTCTATTCATCCTCATGCACTTTTTAGCAACTCCACATTTGAAGATAAGGTCTTAGTGGCTTTTGATAGTTTAGAAATGAACACCAATTTGTTACATTCTAATTCTCAATCGATATCAAAGCTTGAATCTCAAATCAGGATGATAGCTAATGCATTGAATGCAAGAGAAATTGGTAAATTGCCTAGCTAACCCGAAAGGAACCCAAAAGCCCAATACCTTGTGGAAGCAAACTCTACATCAGA